GTGGATAAAAGGAGGTTTATAGTTGTCAGTACACAAAACAGTTTATTCTTGTTTCATTATTTATTATTGTATTGTTTTCCATATGAACAACTGTAAGTCTACTTTTGCCCACCCCTATATAATATAAGCATCTTAATAGTAAAAGACTAAAAACATACTTTTTAAAAACATGTATCAGTGGTATAAATGGAGAAGTTACAGAGAGTGAAGGCAGTAGAAAAACTGAATTGAAAAAAATGCAAATTAAGGAAAAAGTTAGGAAATTTCACCAACAGACTCAGAAATCCAAAACTCATTAAAATGAATCTGTAATTTAAGAGAACCTGAATCTTATTAACCTTTTAACCTGGAGGAACTAATTTTATGGTGAACCCTCAAAATAAACTAGTTCAAAAAAGTAGGCGCTCATATAGCTACATGTTACACACTATAGACTGGTTAAATAGTGGGCTGTGACTGCCCAGTGAAATCGCTGGTTGCATATCAGGAATTCCTAAACATGGAACCACCTTGGAAGCTTAAAAAAATTATATATATATATATATATATATATATGTACACACACACACACACACACACACGCACACGCACACAAATACTGGTGTCAGAATCCACTCCAAGGATTTAGGATTTCATTGGTGTGCAGTTTGGCCTGGATGTTGGGATTTTTAAGAGTTCCCCAGGTGCTTCTGAAATGTGACAAAATTCAGAAGCACTGCTGTAGACATTTCTTTGGCTATAATTAAATACTGGGTTGGCCAAAAAGTTCATCTGTTTTTTTCTGTAAAAATGGCTTTAGTAGTGCTTAGTTTTCTTTAACTTCATTTGAAACAATTCTGTTAGATTATATTTCGACAGCTGTCATATCAGTGTGCATTTAAAAAACTTATCAAAATTGGTGAATTTTGGTGTAGCCATTATAATATGGAAGATGGAAGAAAATATGCAACATTTTCTGCATATTTTGCTTTATTATTTCAAGAAAGGTAAAACTGCAACTGAGAAGAAAAAAAAAGATTTGTGCAGTGTGAGGAGAAGGTGCTGTGACAGATTGAATGTATCAAAAGCAGTTTGCAAAGTTTCTTGCTGGACAATGCTCCACAGTCAGGTAGACCAGTTAAAGGTGATAGCGATCAAATGAAAACATTAATTGAGAACTATCAACGTTCTACCACACAGGAGATAGCCAAATGTGTAGAGCAATAAAATGGCACCGGTCTGGTCAAGATAGCATAAAGCATATAAAACAAATTGGAGTTACTCATGTCAATCACGATGGCTGCGAGCCACTTTAGTTCAAGAGGGAAACTAAGTCATGCTAGACACAACTGGCAAGGAGACACACCTAGGATATCTATCTGCACATGTGGTCAGAACAGCCTTGTCTGCAGAGCGGGACCACTAATAAGTAGGCTCCTGGGGAAATTCCACACTTGCCAGCAGGGGTGCCAAGACATTTATCAAGAGATCCAGAGGGGTGGAGTACACTACCCTCAAGGGCATAACTGAGGCAGGCTTCAGACCACTGCTGAGACAGCTGAGCTCCACACACCAGAGTGCTGTTCCACGCCACACTGATCACCCTTGGCATCGCTGCTGGAGGCTTCCACGCCACACTGATCACCCTTGGCATCGCTGCTGGAGGCTCTGTCCTGCTGCCCACCTGGCTCCAGAGACCCTTCCTTGCAAGATGCCTACGGCTCCCTTGTCCACTGTGCTGTCTCCCAGACCCACAGACTGAGACTCTGGGACTCAGGTTTGTTATCCCCCAATTCGCTGGTGTGATGTTGTTATAGATTATTTCTGAGTGATGATTAGTATTGTTATTAGGTTAGCATAGATTTGGATTAAATCTGCATTAATAAAATCTGAGTGAACCTGCATTAATAAAGTCTGAGTGAATGGCATAGTCACCTGTGTCAGCTCCGTTATTTCTCAGTGCTGGTGTCACCTGTAGGTCTGGTGGTGGCACAGGTAGCTCAGCACTCTCGGTTCTTAAGGCCGGGTCAGATGTTTGGAGCAAAGACAAAAGCTGGCTTATCAGAAAGACTGTATCAGGAACACACACTCGGTACACCAATATACTCAAAATATCAATAAATAAAGTTATTAGTGAAAATGAAAAATATGTCCTTCATTTTATGAAAAAAAAAACTAAATGGACTTTTTTGCCAACCCAATATTAGGGTTATTACCTCAAAGCCACTGTTAATTCCTGAGAGTGAAACAAATCCTCTGCATATCCCCAAAGCTGGAGGGAGAAGGTCGGGGAGTAATCTCTCCAGAAGGTGCAGGGAATCCCTAAACTAAGGGTTTGAGATGAGAGCAGTCCAGAGGGCAAGCCTGTTTACCCCAAAGGAAAATGTTATCTTATCCATGTTGTCTGATTCACTGGTGTAGAAGGGAGCTTCACAAGTTCATTCCTGAACTGAGCCTCCATATCCTCGTTTGTAAAATGGAGACAATAATTCCCCTTGAAGGTTGTTCTAGAGATTAAATGAGACGATAATTGGTTAATAAAAAGTAGCTATTTTTAGTCTAATACTCAACAAATACAGTTTTTCCTGAAAGCTACAGCCGACACTGTCTGTGAATATTAAACTCTCTCCTCTTTTACACGACACAGCACTCTGCTTTCAAATGCTTTATTTCACGTTGTTCTAGAATTAGTCAGTGCATGTGGCCCCCTGGATAGACAAGAATTGTTTGAAAGGGAAATTAAGTAGACCATTTATCAACAATGATAAAACTTGCTTGTTTCTCACAGAACTTAATACAATTTGTTGAGAGACTTGAACCTAAAATTGTCAGAAGGAACTGGCCAAAAATTTCAAAATGATATCCAAAAAAATCAATGGGTTAGCAGTTGAAGAGTGGGTTATGAAATAGCATTTTTTAAAGGTAGAATACTCCATACTTTATGCTTTACTTTTTAAATTGTGGCTATAACAAACTTCACAAACTTGGCAGCTTAAAGAATGTAAATAAATTATCTTGTAGTGTTCTGTGTTATGAAAGGTAAGAGAATATGCTTCCCCAAGAGACACCACTTTGGTATATTGATGATTTTGAGATGTCGGCACTTGAAAAACAGCAAATGCAGCAAGAGGATTTCTCTGAACTCCCCTTATCGGCCTAAAGACAGAAACTCTGAAAGGAACCCACCTGTTATAAATCCCCTCCCAGGAATTTCATCAGCCAGGGAAGACTGAGTCTTATCATTGGAAAGGAGATATCCACGTCACGTCCATGTCACACCCACGTCAAGTCCAAACAAACTTTGTCACAATCACACCTCCCATCTATTCTTCTAAAGATCCATTCCTCTCTCATAAATATCATTTACTCTCCCTAAGAGGTGTGTATCCCTCATTCCCCTTCCCTTTTAAGATGGTGTTTAATTCTGAATTCTAAAGCTACTTCTTGAGTTACTCACATTCCATGGTTATCTCCCACGTATCCAGGAGGCACACATGTTAATAAACTTCTGTTTGTTTTGCCCTTGTTAATGTGTCTTTTATTACTGGAGTTGGGGGAGGGACACAGTCAAGAGCTCAGAAGGGTAGAGGAAAACTTATTTTTCCTCCCCTACAGTTAGAAATATGACACGGATCTCACTAGGCGAAGAGGAACGTGCTGGCAGGGTATGTTGCTTTCTGGGTGCTCAAGGGGAGAAGCCCTTACCTTTTCCAGCCTATAGAGTCTGCTTCCCTTGACTCTCAGCTCCCTCCTCCTTCTTCAAAGCTAGAGAGGTGAAGCCGAGTCCCTCTTCATGCTGCCAACTGCCTTCTCCACAGTCACATCTGACTGCTCACCTGCCTCTCTTCCTTTTAAGGACGCTTGTGATTAGGGCCCACCTGGCTACACCAGGGTGCTCTCCCTAGTTTAAGGTCAGCTGACGAGCAACTTATCCCATCTGCTCCCTAATTTCCCTTTGCCATGTGACAGAACATATCCACACAGCAAAAAACTGCAGAAAGTCAAACTAGACTGCAAATTAGTTTGCAATACATAATCATCTTATCTTTAAATTCAGTCAAGACTGTTATTTCAATTCCAGGAATTAGGATGTGAACATCTTTGGGGGCTGTTCTCCTGACTATTCCATTTTAAGCACACCCTGAGAAGCTCCATAGGATTAAGAGTTTGTAAAGAAGTAGGGCCTGACATAAGAGAGATTAAGATAATAGTAACTGATAAGTCGTGCAGCACAAGGTAATCACGCCTCCACTCCTCCATACCAGATCCACGGCAGACCTTGCTCATTAGTACGGCATATTTGTAACCTTGGGGTCCTTCTCCACACAGCTCATTAGACGGCCACTGGTTTAGTCAATCAGACTTGCCTAGTGCACACTGAAATCGACTTTCCACCCTAAATCAGAACAATTGTAGTGGTAAGAAGCTTGCTCTGAGGCCCTTTTTTTGGCATTAGGTGGTGATCTGATGATTTTAAATTGGCAGACAAAAGGAATCTAAAGAACAATATAAATGAACAAACAAAACAGAATCAAACTCATAGATACAGAGAACAGACTGATGGTTGCCAGAGGGGAGGGGAGTCGGGAGAGTGAGTGAAAAGGTGAAGGAATTCAGAAGTGCACATTGGTAGTTACAAAATAGTCATGGGGATGAGAAGAACAAGCATAGGAAGTATAGTCCCTAATATTATAATAGTTGCGTATGACACCATTTGGGCACTGGAAATACCAGGGGGAACATTTTGTGAAGTATATGATTGTCTAATCACTATGTTATACCCCTGAAAGTAATACAAAATAATATTGAATATAAAATGCAATTGAAAAAATTGAAAAAAAAGGAATCCCAGCTGAGCTACATAAAGAACTCATAATATGACAGTAAAATAAGTGAAATGAATTCAGTCTTGACAGAAATCAGTGTCTGTACGATTCCTCATAGAGAATCCGTGCAGCAATTGAGAAAATCTGCATTTCTTTCTGGTCTCACCCACATAACACAAAGCCTTCTCTTGAGATTTATTATCATGCGTCTTTTTTCCTATGAGAATATTTTGCTTAAAGATTTGAATTATGCTTATATGTAGGTCTTTAGCATTTTTTATTATTTTAGAATAAAACACTACAGCCCTTTATAAGTACAATATAAAAGTAATCCATGACCATGGTACAGAAGTTAGAAAAATCAAAGAAGAAAAAAAGAAGAAAAACCACACATAATTCTATTCATCAAAAGTAAATTTTGGTGCTTAGTCTACCAGATGTGTTTACATTCACTCATTTATTCAACATATTCTTGCTATGTCTCTGTGCCAGGAACTACTCCAGGCTTTGAGTGTAGAGCATAAATAAAACAGACAAAAATCAATGCTCCCAGTGAGCTTAGTTATGTACAGAAATATACATACTTTTAAAATCAAAATGATACTATTTTTCACATTGTAACTGCCTTTTTCTATATAGTCTTTTTTTAAAAGATTTTACTTATTTATTTTTAGAAATAAAGGGAGGGAGGGAGAAAGAGAGGGAGAGAAGAAACATCAGTGTGTGGTTGCCTCTCACATGCACCGCACTGGGGACCTGGCCCACAAGTGAACTTGCAACCCTTAGGTTTGCATCCGGCACTCAATCCACTGAACCACACCAGCCAGGACTATATGGTCTTTTTTTTTTTAACTATCCCCCTAACATTGTCAGCCTTTTTTAGTTTTCCTGGTAGTCTTGACTGAACTGAGACCTAAGTCAAGGTGAGTACGGATTACTACCTAATTGGCAGTGCAGTCTGACTTCTAGCTCCATAGTGTAATGCTGTGATCAGAATGCTGTGAATTCCTTAGAGCCCACAAGGCTACTTAGTTAGGGAATTGAAAAGAACATTCTATCTTGTTCCAGTCATCTACAACTTCCTAATGTGTCCCCTTAAAACTTAGAGGCTTAAAAAAAACAACATTTTATTATTAGTAACTCTCACAATTCTGAAGTTTTCCTCAGCTCAGGGGAACAATTCTCAGAGTTTTTTTCCAGTTCAGTCTGACAGCGTTTGGTACTGGAGTCTTCTCAAAGGTTCCTTCACTTACATGGCCCATGGATTCTGGCCATTGGCTGGAATGTCAGCTGAAGTCATAGCTGGAACACCTACCAAGCGCCTCCCTGTGTGGCCTGGACATCCCCACAACATGGTGGTTAAGTTTACTGATGAAGCATCCTCCAAATCAGAAACTATATCCCCTCTTAGACCTAAGCGTGGAAGTCCCATAGGGCCACTTCCACCGCAGTAATAGGCTCATCGGATTCCAGGAGAGGAAACATGCGTCTCTTGATGGAGGACAACCAACGTCACGTGGTAAGGGGCGGGTTGTTTCATGGTGACCATCTCTGGGACGTGCTGTCTGCCCTTGGCCTCCTCACACCTTCAATCTGTAAGGTTAAAATCAGAAACAGCAGACTTTCCAGGGCCACTGTAAAATGAAGAGAAAAATCCTGTTACTATCAGTCATCTCTAAAATAATGACTCAAAGATTCAGTTTAGTAAAAAAGAACTGACAATGAAATAACCAACTATTCTAATTTTCCCTACATTTATCCCAGGGATTCACATTTCAAAGTATTAGTTGATGATAAAAAAAAATTTGATCAGGTTTTTTTCCCTTTACTTTGCAAAACTGTCCCTGAGAAAGTGACACATAGTCCTATGTATAAAGCATTAATTTTGGCATCCAAGACTATTAAAATACAACCTAGGTTGATCAGTGCTTAAATGTAATGCTAAGAAGGCTGTTAAGTAGGTCCCAAACATCTTCGGAATCTCTGTGTACATCACTGGGAAGGGATAAACACATTAAAAAGCCAAATAAGAATTTAGAGGAATTATTTAACAAATACTTGCTGAAGCAAATCAACAGTTTATTCTTTCATTTCAACACAATGAGCACTTATATATCTGATACAAATACTAAGTACTTACGATATAATAGCACTTTAGGCTATACATAAAGTAATATTAAAATGGTTGATACTATATATCACTTCACTAGCACAAATGAAACTGTTATATACTTACTGTATTATATTATATTTACTGTATTATAGTAAATATCATATGAAGAAGGATTCTGTGAAGCAGATATATAAACACTATAGTGAAATTCCCACAACAGGATGCTACCTATCTAATCACAAACACTCTGCCTGTTGTATAGAAAACACATTTTCATACCTCTTTTTTAAAAAGGGTTATATCACAGGTTCACAATTGCTTTCCATAGAAGGGACAGTCAAGCTGATACAGTAGCTGAATACCATACGAGGACACGTAGGACAGAGTTCTTTTGTCCTGACATCAGAAAAGTACCTTCCTTGGTTGTACTAAGTTCTCAAATCCTCACTCGAGCATTTAATATAAAGAAGGAAATATTTCTCTCTTTCAGAGTCCAACCCTGTCTCCTTAGAAAATTCACCACAAAGTGAGTAAATGGCCATTGTTTCTTTCAGACCTGTTTTCTGACCATGAGCTCATTAACACTAAAGTTCTGGTTTCAAATTTTTTAATATTCTTTAGAGTTCAATATATGAGAATGACTACCACAGTTTCTAGCAACATCACGCATTAATTGATAAAGTCAACCTAAGAAATCTGAGATTCTGCTGCATGATGTGCTCACCTTTGTTGACTTAATATGTCCTTCATCTAAGTAATAAAGAAACTGTGGAATGGACAGAGGACTATCACAAACCAGCAAAGAGAAGTCCTGTTTTGTTCTCTGTGTTTGTTTCTGAGGTTTGGTTTTGCCATAGAAAAGGGAAGCTCTCCCTCGTATCGGGAGCCTGCTCAGCAGTACTATGCTGAAACAAAAATGGCCCTGGCAATCACAGGTTTTCTCCCACTGCTAGAGATGATTTAGGAAACATGAATTTTCCAGAAAATTTGATTTTCTTCCTTGAGCCAGTACTTAAACAGGGAGAGGAAATGATGGAAAAGTTTTCTTCTTGTTCTCAAGATAGACTCATCACCTGCAGGGGTCCAGGAGTGGGATTGGATATACTTGTGAGCTTTTTCAGGTCTTTACCTGATATTTTTCTTGCACTTTACAAGTCAGAATTTTAAATAATCTAGAATGATATAGTTCATGGCGCTTGGGATTTTTGCCTTAACTTTTGACATGGTAACTACCATAGTGTTTCAAACTGTTTTTCTCCAGATACTGCAAATGTGTCAACTGTATGATAATTACTTGTAAAGCACTCCTTCTGTTTAAGTTCTGTACACATGATCTTAGGCCTTCTTAGGTCAAAGAAGTGCAAGAGTCTAGTGGTAAAAAGTTATCATCCCATTTAATTATATAAAATCGTGGAGAAGAAAAAATAGTAGTTATAATTGTCTGATTCATTCCCAGTTTCCAAAATCTGTTGTAAGAACTGAGGTTTCATTTCCTAGGCATTGAATATACATATCTAGAAAATCAACTTACATAAATCAAGTTAACTGGCCTTTTCATGATGGGCACTGTAATCCCTCGCCCTGGTTTGATTTCCTGAATTTCTTCCTGTATTTGTTCATTCATTTTGCCAACACTTATGAAGCACCTAAAATATTCTAAGCCTTGTGCATTAGCCTAAAAGCTCAAGTGGCATGAGATGAAAAAAAAAAATCCTGGCCGTCAGAGGGCTTGAAGTCTAGCAGAGAAACCAGTCACAAAACAATGTGCTGACACAGGATGCACTTAATAATCTGTCTAACAAATATTCCAGACACTGAACAAGGTCATGGGCATAGAGCAAAGAGTAAAAAGACACTTCCCTATTCTCATGAAGAACAGAGAGAGATAGGTCTCAATCAAATGTAACACAGATATAAGTTGATTGCTGTATAGTTGAGAGCTCTCTCAGTGTCAAGTGGCCAAACACCCAGCTCACACTGGCCCAAGCAAAAAGGATATTGATTGACTCATGCAGTTAAAAAGCCAATGGCTAATTAAGGCATGGGTTAGTATCAGGCTCAAACAATGTCACCAGGACCTGGTACCTCTCCTTATACTTCAGCCCTGCTCACATGGGTCTTGGTTTCATTTCCATGTTCAAATCCAATGATACAAGAACAGTGTGTCTATTCTTCCAACAAATATGGGCTGACTCCGATTAGTCCAAAAGAGAACACATGCAGATTCCCTAAACTATCCCTGGCCAGGGGAATGTGATACTCTGATTGGCCAGGCAAGTCACATGCTCATTTATAGAGTTGGGGATGGGACCAATTTCAGGGGGAGCCTGTGAACTGACAGTGGGGAAGGGTGTCCCAGAAGAAATTGGGGGTTTCTTACCTTTTGATAAGGAGGGGGAATAGCCATTGGCAGCCAAGCCACCCCGTGTCATCACATCTCTCTGTGCCCTCCTTTTTCATCCAGGAGACAAATGTAGCAACCAAAATTTCACTAAAGCAATTTCTATCCTTAATGATGCCTCTCAAAAAAATTGTCAAAGGGGATTCAGTTCATAGCCTCAGACACACATGTTGATATTCTCTTTTCCCCTGCCCTCTCACTCCCAACTCTCATCTCTCATACTGTCCCAGTCCTCTCCACACACCCCGTGGCCCAGTTCTACACAAATTCCTCCCAACTCTACTCACATCTCTGCTGTCCTTCCTTCATTTATTGTGCCCAAGCCCCTTTGTCTGGGCCCACTTTTCTGTTACGTCTAGTACTTTTCTTCCCCAGTGTAGATCTTCTAGGCTTACCTGTTGCTTAAGTTTTCATTCCACTGATTACCCCAACCTGCATAATAAAGATCAGAAATTCCCTTAAGAGGTGGGAGTGGGAGGAACCAAATGGCTACAAAACATTGGACTATTTTTAACTGAAGAAATGAAAAATACTGCACAAATGCTTATAATATCTTTCCTCCCATCGCTGCTGTCCAAATAATGATACCCCATAATATGTACTTTTAAAATGTGGTAAGATTTGGGATGAGGGTAAGGGAATAATAGTGGACTTTTGAATTCAGATCTAAAGGATGAACTAGAGTGAACTAAATGAATGGGTTTGGCAGGCGACATGTTCTGGGAAGGAGACGTGTCATTGGATGAGCCCCTGAGCCTGGAGGAAGGCAGGAACTCTGAAGAAGCAGGTATCTTCAGAGTGAGGGAAGCATGGCACAGGATGCGGCCAGCAGGTAGGTCCAGGTCACCCTCAGGCACTGGACCACCAAAGAGCAGACACTAATGACCAAACCGGACAGTTTGGCCCAAAAGATTTGCAGAGTTTGAGCCTCAGAAGAAAAGTCCTTCAAATAGCATTCCTAAGCTTCAGCCTTGTAAAAAAGTATCACTTCAAACAGTCCATGCCTGGGTTGTTATGCTACAGCAATCTGATTATGTAAGTGCCTGTGAAAGAAGGAATGAAAAGTGCCTTCAGCACAGTGTCTCTTGGCTGAACCTGTTAGACATCTTTCTGTGATATTCTTAAGTTAGACAAGGAATCACTGCCAAGATCATTTTGCTGTTATAACCACGATCAGTTCAAGTTTCTATCTAATCTTTCACCGTACAACTTTTTGAGAGAAATGTAATGCCGATAGGAGATCGAAGTTGACTCGTTTATTTGCCTAAGGAAACAGGCCAAAAATAACCTTGTTTGTTTGTGCAAGTGTTTACTGATATGGTTGGGCTTAAAGTCCTCATCTTGTGATTTGTTTTCTGTTTCACCCATCTGTTCTTTGTTCCATTTAAAAAATATTTTTCTAGTTTTATTTTTTCAGTTGAGTGTTTTTATGATTTCATTTTCTTTCCTTTGATGGCTTTTGTTTTAGTGGTTGCTTTAGGGTTTACAGTGCATATCCTTTATCTATTACAGCCAACTTGCAAGTGATGATATGCCACTTCACATACAGTATAAAAACCTTACAATAGCACACTTCCTTTTCCCACCTCCAGGCCTTTGTGCTGTTATTGTTTTACTTCTACAGCAGCTCCCTTATCCACAGGGGGTGCGTTCCCAGCCTGCCCAGCGGGTCTAAAACTGCAGATCGTACTGAACCCTACATATATTTTTTCCTTTACACATATATGTGCCTATGCTATAAATTTATCAATTAGGTATAATAAGAGATTAAAAATAATAGCTAAAAGTAAAATAGAGCAATTATAACAATATAATATAATAAAGGTTATGTGAATGTGGCATTATTAAGGAAACTAAGCATTACTGGGGCACAGGCACTGCAATACTGAGACAGTTGGTCTGATAACTGAACTGAACCAGCGAATAAGAGACTAATGGGTGGGAAGCGCCTACAGTGTGGACATGCTGAACAAAGCGATCATTCATGACCTGGGTGGGTCAGAGCAGGACTGCACAGATTTCATCACTCTACTCAGAATGGCCTGCAATTTAAAACGTTATGAATATTTTATTTCTGGAATTTTCCATTTAATATTTTAGGAATGCAGGTAGCTGAAACT